AAGGAGCTAGGTAGGAGCCAGGCTAATTTTGTTCCCTAATTTGTACCTGCCGTTGTTAGACTCCCTGACCCCTCTGGCTGCAGTCTTCTTCTTGGGTTGTGAAAATGTTTTTCTGGTTACCAACAACCGCTTTGAATTTTCACGGCCATTTCATTTACTTTTCATTCTCCTTCCTCTCCCAGGAAGCTTCTTCCTCCAAATTCATGAATGTTTCTGCACATTTACGCTCGATAGTTTTACTCAATAATGTACTTTCTCTGCGGCCAGGAGAGGCCTCATCTCCATCACTTTGGAACAAAATGGAATAAATTCTTCCTTCGACAAGCCCGCTGGGCGGCTGAGCTCAGCCAATGAAATGAGACGTCTGGGGGCTCCGTGAAACCAGTCTCATTATCGCTCTCACTTGTGTTCAGGTGTGTTCTCCAACATCCATTTTATCTCTCGCCGTTCCCTAATTCATTTCCTGCAGAAAATGAATTCCTCTCCTTTCACGCTGAACACCAGGATTACAGAAAATTACAAATGCTGAAATCAGTTAGTGAGCTGATGTAATTTGAATTGCAGACAGCCTCTCACCTCCCTGTGCCTGTCATCTTCACGCCTGTGATGCTGAAACGATGGCTCGGGGACAGAAGTGAGATTACAGTGATACTGGGCTGTATTGACCGCTGCTCTTTGGTATTTCATGGCCATGGTCCATCACATTATTGATTTAAAAGAGCTGCCTCTGATGTTAAGTTCAACTGAATTTAAAATCTCTAAATCCTGAAATGTTGGTTGGACAGAACAGGACTTTTGAAGACATTATCTTGGTCTCTGGGAAATTGTTAATGAGATTTCTCACTCTTGTATGATATATAACAGATGGAATGATTCATTGATTTATAAAACAACAATGTCATAGAATAATAGAATATCTGATACTGAAAAGAAGTACTTGTGTGTGTTTTCAATGGTGCAAGAGGAACGCAGATCATTTACCTTAGCAACACTGGAGCAATGTACAAATCCTATATTCAAATCTTGTTGTTGTGCTGAAAGCATCAAAAGACAAAATATCATTATGCAGATTTTCTCTTTTCCCACTGATGTACACAGTGTACTCGCTTATTATTATTACCTCTGTCAAGAGGTGTGTTTGTTAGCGGGGTTACCCAAAAAGAACTGAATCAATTCCCATGAACTTTTGGGAAGGGGTGGGGCAAGGAAGAAGCTTTGGTGCAGATCTGAATCAGGGGGTGGAACCGGAAATCGTTGATTTCTCAAAGAACAATTCTTGGATCTGGGGACCAATATTTATGAGTGTGTGGTGCAGGTCCATTCAAAAATCTGGATCAAGTGAATTTAAATGTGGTTTCATAAAACCTTAGGCCTTGGCGGAGATATGAACTCTTGTGTCATTCTAGTTACTGATGATTTCAGTTTAGTTGTAGTTGAACCGGTTTTTAAACATTAAAAAAATCAGTATATTGAAACAATACAAAATAAGTTACAGTATGTCCCTGCACGAGAAATATTTTTTTTTATTGATTTTTTTATTTTTTAAATTTATTTTAACACTTTTTTTCTTACACTGAAACGTAGCGGAGAAGAAATTATGCAAATATTCAAATAAAGTACAAGTACCTCTGTATTCAACCAAAGAATTTGATATACTTCCCACCACTGTCAGCTTTTATTATGCTCCTGCTTCAGTTCTACTTTTTTATTCCATGTACATGAGGCACTGACAGCTTTTAAAAACTCCTCTGGGACTATTGTTAACGTGCTGTTGGCAGTCGTACAGGCAGCTTTCTCTGTGTAGCTGTTCCCTTGTAACTGTTCGGAGACTTTATAAAAAAAATACTTTGAATTACATCCAACATTTGCAGCATAAAGTGTGTTGCAGCTGGCTGTCACATTACTACTATAACAAGCTCCAATATGCAGCAGCAGTCAAAGCAGCACATGTTTATAAATAACCAGCTTTCTAGTTAAAATGGAAACACATGATCTTCAACTATTGATACGAGAGTGCTGCTGCAGCTCCTGCTGATTATGGTGAATAATTCAAAGCTGCATAATTTGAAGCAGGAGAGAGATCATGACTCAGTGATTCATTGCAACCTGCAGCACTTGTTCATATTTGCTTTGTTTGGTTGAAGTTAAATCTGCACAGACAAGCAACAACTGATATTACATTCAGAAAGGATTTTATAGATATTATGGTCATAGGCGAAAAATGCCCTTGAGAACAACCCAAACCAGATTATTATTACTATTATTATTATTATTATTTGCAGTAGTAGTAGTAGTAGTAGTAGTAATAATAGTAATAGTAGTACTCAAAAAAATCAGAGATTATTGGTTTATTTACTCTAATTATAGGAGGAGGAAGAGATATTTAAGCAATTAGAAATTTAGCCACAAAAATCGAATCAAATGTAAATTTTTTAGTTAAAAAAAAATCTGAATTAGCCATGAATGTGTAATTTGTGTGAAAAAAAAGACCTACAATGACAAAAAATTATTCAATATGTGCTTTGACTTTTTAGTTTGGTTCACCACTAACATGGAGGAGGTGGGACTTATGACCCATACTGCAGTCGGCCACCAGGGGCTGATTGACATACTTTGGCTTCACTTTTAGGGAGAAGACAAGTCGTCCATCTTTTACAGCCAGTGGGCAGCACTTAGGTACAGGGGTGCGTTGAGATCACTGCTAATATTAACATGCTCGCAATAAATAACGCTGCATGCAAAGAAGAGAAAAGTAGTTGTGCAGGTGCGATAGTTCAAGTTAATATAGTCATGTTAATATTTGTATTAAATATTATTTCAGGATCTCAAACGTGAGGATCTGATGCTGAATTGTTTTGCATGATTTTAAATTGAGTAGCTTCTCGTTGGGTTTTGTCGGGTGTCTGGAGATGCCAACGTGGGCTCATGGACGTTGACATTTTTTGATCATTTCTGACATTTTATCAACAAAACATTCATTATGAATGAAGGTGAAAATCACACACAGCAGTTTGCTGCAGCTCACCAGTGTCGGACGCCTGCTGTGTTGAGCTGTCATCTGAACGTCGCCTCCTGAAACTTCATCAGCGCCGTTGGTTCTGTGTGGCCCGCACCGCTGGAGCCTGGCCCGCTCCGATGCTCAGGGAGATGCAAATGGCTCTGCTTTAATGATACATGGTAATATCCTGCTGCTGGTGAAGGATGTGTTTACCTTTAGCGTTTGACTCTGCCCTGGAAAACATTTCTGCTCATATGAACAGAGTGAGGGCGAAGAGGAGGAGGAGAAGGAGCAGAAGAAGAACATATTCCAATTTAATTTGCTTTACTGCAAGAAAATTGTGTGTGCAGTGTATAATTTGTGCCCATCACTTGTACGTCCCCGCAGTGGTTGGTCTGTCATCGTCTCTGTGGGTAATGGGATTGGTCGTGGAGACCACTCCGCGGGTCCCTCAGAAGTGTGGGCACAAGACAAATGGTGCTCATCAATATCTGCCTGCTGTTCTGTAGCCACAGCAAATGAAAATGAATGACAGAGCGGCTCTGTGACATCTGAAGGCATCTCAGGGGGAGATGTTTCTTCAGATTGGAGGAAATGCTGCAGCCTGTTCATAAGAAAACATCAGAGACATCTCCAGGTATAGTTAAAATAAATTATGTTACAATGTTGTCGACTTTCAGGTAATTAAACATTACAATTCGGAAATTTCAGCACAAATTATGACACAAGATCTTTTTTAAATAATTTTAATATCATCATCTTGGGGCATTATACAATTTGAAATATCAGATTACAGATTACTGGGAAAAAAACATTTTCTCCTTCCACAATAAATTACCCCTGCACTTTTATTCTTTTATATTTAACTTGTAATATCACACTTAATCTATTATGGCAGAAAAGCAGTGGTTCATCGATCTCTGTGTGTTGAAAATATCCACTCTGCTGCAGTTGAACACAACATCTGTGCAGTACTTTCAGAGCTCAGACTGACGTGCAGCAAAGTGAACATTTCCACCACCACACGACAGCAGAAGTAGGATTTTCACACTGTGTGACACGTCTCTTCAGAAAAGCGCTGAACCACTAAAGATCTTTCTGGAACCTATTGACACGAGGCAAAAACAGTGGGTTGGACAATACTCTCCCAAGCGTCTATCTATCATAGACCTGCCAGTTCCCTTGAGGCAGCAGATTCATTATTTTTTAAATACAGCATCAAATAGCACTACAATAACATAGTGTGGTCAGAGGAAGGAGCAGTCGACCCTGTGGTACACAGGAGCTTTCCCTAAACCTTGACTTTAAACATRTTTAACATTTTACCCTTAAGAAAGGTCAATATTATAGCATCTTTAAATCTTTCATTAAAGTGCATCGTAAACCGTTCTACCTCACTATCAGTACATTCCAATTAAACACTTTGTCTACGTACTTGTTTTTTACACTTATCTTAATGCTACCATAAATTCAGAGCACGCTGGTGCTCTTACACCAAAGATTAAACTGGCACAAAACCACCACATGACACCACGTCAGGAAAAGGAGTCACAGTCAGAGCTGCAGAGTCTGGAGCACAGCTGACGTCCTCCCCTGGACCTGGAAACACAGACCAGGATTAGATAAACTAGCTGAGTGTTTCATCTTGTTTTGGTGTCTGATGATAACCACAGTCCCAACAATCCTTTGGTCCAGAGGACGCTGGGCTGGAAGTGGCCTTGGACCCACTCAAAGACTAAATGGAGGCGACTGATTGGATGAACAGCAGCAGCATCAACAACCAGCGTTCGGTTATACTCCCTCTGTCCGAGTGCACCAATAATTCATTAAATAAGCTTCACACAGATCTAAACTCACGTGTCTCACTTCACCTGCAGAACAGGCGTCAAACCTACAGTCCAGGCGAGCTCTCTCTGGGGATGCAGCTTCTCTCACAGGCCCCAGTACGGAGCCAGGCTCCTGCGGTCTCTCTCATACACGTCAGGTATGACCCCGTAGGGCGTCTGCACCATCTTAACAGAGTTTCTACCAAACAGCTTCCTCTCGTACTCGATGAGCTGGCGCCAGAAGCCTCCGTTGGGCCTGATGACGGGGCGGCGGGCTTTGACCCAGGCGTGGGCCTCTGCCAGAGACACGCGGTGATACTTCATGAGGTATGCCAGGCACAGAGAGGCTGAGCGGCTCACCCCCGCCGCACAATGCACCAGCACCGCGCCTCGCTTACGTCCCACGCTGTGGATCTTATCGGCCACACTGTCGAAATACAAGGAGATGGGGGAGTGGGGCATATCCGCCAGTGGGACCTTAACATACTCCATGTGAGGCCAGTTGAAGTTTGGGAGCTCGATGGTGGCGTTGACCACACAGGTGATGCCTTTTGAGAGCAGCAGGCTGCGGTTGGACGCCACGTTCCCTCTGCTGAGGAAGAGGTTGGGGGTGATTTGCGCGATGCCCCCCAGAAGGCTGCCGTTCTCAGGCAGCAGCCTCGGCACTGCGGTGGGCACCATGGAGCTGCGATGGTGGTGGTGGTGGTGGAAGAAGCCTTGGCTGCGGGAACCCATCGAGGAATCAGGTGGGCTTCAAGATGGATGGAGAATTAAAGAAGATAAATCTTCAGCAGCTCAGACTCATAATAGTGAAGATGGATCAGCTCCTGGAAAACACAAACAGATTTCACCTTCAATATCATGTCACTGCTGAGACAGTTGATTTCTTCAGGCTGAGTCTGTCTTTAAAGTTTAATAAAAACCCAGACAAGACACAGTTTGCACCGACGAAACTTTAAAAAAAGAAGGCTGCTGGGAAGCTGCGACCCACTGATCCACAGCCGTCACTTTACAATAAATCCAACAGAAGGTTTTTCATGAATCCTCAGACTCAAAGTGTTCTCACATAGAGAAACTGCTCTGTCTCCAATGTTTGTGTCTCTACATCAGGTTGAATGTCGCTGCCTCCCTCTGCCATGTGAGCACAGACCTCCTGGAGGCAAAACACTCGCCTCATCTCATGTTCATCCATCCACGGCCCCCACATACAGATTAAATCTCTCGTCTCTGTGGCCACTGCTGCTTCTAACGTCGGTTTGGATGGCACCAAAGTCAGCATGGGAAGCGATCACATACTGTATGATACTATATATGAGTGTGCTGATAAATCACCAAATTAAATTGAATTATTCTCAGAGGATTCAAATGATCTTTACTTGCATTTACGAGCTGTAACCTGAACGTGAGGTTGGGCGACACATGACGTAAAGCAGCCGATATCAAGTTACACTACTGGCTGCACTGTATATGATAGAAATAGCCTCCTATGCTAATACTGAAGTTATCATTGGAGAATCCACAGCTCCAGGCACTACTTCACACGCTGCTGCACTTGTCGTGCGTCATCCACACCTCGTGCACCAGTCTAGCCGGCAGGTCTTTTTCTCTCATGTTCAGCTACAGTCTGGTTAACAAGACACATGGGTCAACTGCTTTAAAGTGGAATTCAGTCTGCAGAAATAAAAAAAAATAAAAAACACACCTGCAGAGAGCACGAGAAAGATTCTTCTTATTAATTAAATTTGAATTAAAAGCGAGAGAGAGTGGAAAGACATGGATTTGAATAGAGCTGCATGACGGAAAATACAGTCAAACCATTTGTGAGCCTCCGACACATTTCTACCTTTAAATTAAATTCTAAAATTTGGGATGAGGACCTGAGCAGTGGGTCGCAGGATAAATCTGAGCAGTCACATATTGTTTAACGTTGATAGGAATCAGAAATCTGCTGCCCAATTCTGCATATTTCCAATCTTTCTTGGTTAACTCCACCAAGGTGGTTGTGTGTTATTTAGCAGGATCACACAAAAACTACTGGACGGATTCCCATGAAACTTGCAGAACAGGAACCCATTATATTTTTTGTGTGACTCTGAATCAGGGGGCAGATCCGGGTATTTTTCATTCAAAAAATTTTTGCCTAACGAAACAAAGATTTTGGTTAAAATCAAAGTGCCTTTCTCCGACATGTCAAACAGAAATGTTGGGAGCAACTTTTTTTTTTGTAGTTTTCCCCACAAGACTTAAAAATCTAGATAATAAGTGTCCATTGCAAACGTTAATACTTCCTCCAGCATCACCATTGTGCTGTAAAAAGAAAAAACCCTCAACTCATATCGATCATCTCAGCATGGTCTGCTTCTCTCCAGAAAGAAAGAAAAGGCTCAAAAGGTTAAAATAACACTCTCCTCTCTCTGTTCACTCTCCCTGGCCGGCCCCTGCATGGTTGCTGGTTCACCTCTGAAACCGTTGCCACGTTGGTGATCGAGCTGCGGTGCAACTGATTCTGCCTTCCTCATCTCTGTCGCCGCTGGTGATGAGACAACAAACACTGTGACTCTGGGAAATGAGTATTTACCCCCGACCCACATCAGGAGGTGGCGAGATTAACTGATAAATGTTTAGAATTGCTGCTGGAGAAATGACTTCAACGATTAAATGATCATCAAATGAGTTGCTTATACTTTTTTTTAAATGATCAACAAATCGATTATTTGAATAGTTACTGCAGCTCTCCTAGGATGCAGTCGATGCATCAGTTCATGGAGACAGAAAAATACATTTATATACCATCAGCTGTACAATATCTGTTGCTGTGGCAACCAACTGACCAACAGTATGAGACAGCAGCAGCCACATCAACAGAGAAATGATGAAACAATCCCTGGCTCTGACCAAAGTGCTGATGTCCCAGAGACCTGCTCCATGCACATGGTTATTTATACCCCAGGCTGGACAGGAATGAGGTTGCACAGAGTGGAGGAGGGAGAATTATGCCAAGGCCACAGAAAACCTCAACTGTATATGGAGATACTGCAGCGCAGTGTCAATCTAATCTGATGTGAGGAGGATCAGTGCATGGTGTTGACGTGTCTGAAGCACTGAGCCACAGAGCTACTGCACATCCAGACTTTTAGAAGGTAGATTTCTCTTTTCTTCTTCCTCTTCCTTCATCTTACATCCTTGATGTTAGAGAAACTTCCCCCTCCTCCATCATACACGGAGGATCTGTCAACAGGTGGTCGCATCAAACAAATCTTCCTACACAGACACACGTTTCCCTCGACTCCCTGTGGGAAGATTCCTCAGGGGTCTGGTTACTCCTCTGCTAACGCAAATTGGAAACGTGACCCACCTCCAGGAAAAACTAGAGCGGCAGCCCTGACAGCGATGCCTCGACGACACCAGATCATTTCAGGCCATGATTAACGTTGAATTCCTGACTGACACTCCCTCACGTCACAGAAAGAGATGAATGAAGAGAGGGGGCCGCTCCTCGCAGCATCGTCTCTCTATCAAAGGCAAATCCATTTATTCAGTCCGACCGATTTCTGAAAGTGACTCCGCAGCCTGCGGTCTAGATAATCATCAGGACCAATGATAAAGCTTCTGAAATTCATCCAAACACAACTGAGTGCAGCCTCACACACACACAGAACACTGTAATGTCCACTGCAGAGTCAAAAGGGAGACTGGGACCAATTCCACACGAGGAAACAAGGGTTCATGAAGGTTTGGCACCTTCCTGCAACAGCAGAGGCTGCGTGAACGCTCAGTCGACAGGGTTGCACCTCACCCTGCTGCACACAGACACATGCAAACACATGAGGGACAGTGATCATATGTCTTTCAGCTTTCAGAGATTTTACACAAAAAAAGCAGAAGCATAGTTGTATCCTTCACAGCAGACAGAGACGGAGAACTTGAGTGCATCCACTTTATGAAACATGACGCACTGATCAGAATCTAATGAGGCCCATATATCGTTATTCAAAATGGGTGCCACAAGCAGCGAATATCAAATTAGTCCAGAAAGGATAAGTTGATTGATCGATTAGTCACTCAACACAAAAATAATCTGCAATTCTTTTTTCGTGACTGATGAACAGTTTCAGCCCCTTTTTCAAGCAGAAATGTTGAAAAATGATTTTGCCTTCAAAGAGACAAGAGAGCTTTGTGTTTTGAACTCTTTAATGATCTCAAAAGATAAAATATTAGTTCGGATTAATCGTTAATGAGATGATCGTTATTGAAGATACAGCTGAATTGATTGAGTCGACTGATCAATGATTCATGGTTTGAGCGAAAATGCCAAACACGTGACACTCCTGGCTTCTTATTCACTATTTTCTATCATTTTATGGACAAAATAATCAATAAATTAAGAAAATAATCAGCGTGATCAAAAATGAAGGTGGAAGAGCAGGTGAGAAATATCAATACTGTGTTTTATTTTTACCTCAACTTTGCAAAGGCTGGCACTCCCTCTCCAAATAAACTGGTTTAACCATTATTAACACAGAAAACGTTGCAAAATGTATTGCAAACAACAAAAGAAATTGAATCAAGAATTAAACCATCTTTAAGAGGCTAATTTAACTCTTTTGTTATCATGTAGAAGAAAGTGAAGGAGAACGTAAGGTAGAGGTTACATTTAGTGTCAGTCAGGAATATTGTTATTTGTATCGCTTATGTTATGAATTGAGGTTTTCAAAACTAAACGTCTCCTCTGCTCTTCAGAAACGTCAGAGTAGCCTCCCTCGTTACATACAGAAGAGCAGGATTCTGACCAAACTTTTAACAATCACAAAAATCTGCATTTTATCACCTGAAAAAATTCAGACTGGGAAAAACTGATTCATGCTTTTATCTCCAGTAGAAGCAAAAGTTTTAACCAAATCTAAAAAAGACTGCCCACGTCCCCCCCTGCTCTTAAACCTGTTCGCTGGCTGCCAGTGAAGCACAGGACCAATTCTAAAATTTAAAATTTTTCAATCTCAGAGTGGAGCCGCTCCCAACTACAACATGTTAGTCCAGTATAACCCTGCAAGACCCCTGAGATCACTGGGGAGGGGTCTGCTCGTGGTGCCGGGGGTCAAATCTAAACATGGAGAAGCAGCATCACTGGAACCAAATGCCTGATGATCATAGGAATCCTCCATCCATTTAAATGTTTTAAACCAGGTTGTTGTTTCATTATTTCATACAGTTCTATCTATTTTATTTGTATCAATATCTATCTATTTTTAGATTTATAAATTTGATATATTGATTTGATTTATTTGATTCTACTCTTTTATTTTGCTTGCTGAATTGTCTTGTGCTGTGAGATTTTAAATAGTTTTCTTTACATTTTGTCTCAGTGTGTTTTTCTTTAATAATCCTGTGCAGCTCCTTGAATCTTCCTCCGAAATGTGCCTTATAAATACAACTGCCTCGCTTTGCCTTCACTGATCATTTGTGTACAGTCCCTGAGTGTGAAACTCAGGAGCATCAATCCTGTGACAGACTCAGACTCTTCATCGTTGGAAAGTGTGACGCCTCCTCTTCCTCCTCTCTGAGCCACAGTGTGTGAAAATGTGAAAGATTCCACAACTTTAATTATGTATGACTGAGTCGTGAACGAGCTCTGTGTGGGAAACAGATCAGAACAAGTAATAATACATTACATTTAATAATAGAAGATAAAAGTAGCCTCATGTTCAGAAAACGACGACATCCAGCTGCAGGTGTTTCTCCAATCTCTCTCATCTTACATCATAAAAGTGATGATGATCTTCTTTGGTGATTTTATATTAAATCCCATCATGCATCAGATTCAAATAATGACAATTAGCTGCAGGAACCAGGTTAAAAGTCAACTCACCAGAGGATTCTCAGTCCTGCAGGGATGGAGGTTTTCTCTCTCAGCGCGCTGCACCGCCTGCACCAGTCCGGCGGGCGGGCACGGATCCCCGGCTTCAGCGCTCAGGACCTCCACCCTCGGCCTGGAGGATGGTGAAGGGCTGGGAGGTGCGAAACAAACCGAGAAACACACAACAACATTACGCGAAAGTCAAAAGAAATAGGAGCCATCGGTGCGTCCGCCTGGTTCTCTGAAGGCTGCTCCGGTATGAGGAGCGATTAGTGCCACACCGAAGAGGAGGAGGAGGAGGAGGGGCGTGTTTCAGATTCAGGCTTTTCTATTGGAGGATGCACGTCTTTTTTTTTTTTTCAAAGTCTCAATTCGGGGCCACATCCTTCAGAGGCTGCATTCATAGATCGATTGCATCACAGTGGTGCGACTAGTGTGCCCCAATGTGAAGGCTGCTGTAAATGCCACCTCTGTATTTATATAGCGCTCGTCCTCACCCGTTCATACAGTGCATCTATGGGCAGCACTATTTTTCCTATTAGTTTCTTGCCCTAGGACACTTTGACAGGCATATATGGAAGGCTGGGATCAACCCGCTGACCTTCTGGTCATAGGATGACCGCTCTCCCCTCTCAGCCACAGCTGCCCATATCCCATGAGTCATTGCGCTCATGTGAGGAACTATTTTTCATGGTAGCAGCAGGTGAGGCAAAAAACATCAGAATTAACTTTTAAATGTAAGTACTCAGTTGAACAGCTAACAGAACACACAACATCCTCTCAACGTTTTTTAATCAGCCGAAGAACTTTTTCGTCCGTAGCTCTGTTGCTACGTGATGGCTGTAAGGGGCGGGACAAGCTGGTAACGCAACAAGCGGACCAGACCATCTCCTTTTATGGAGGATTCATCCTGCCACGGCTGTGTAGACTCGGTCCTCCAAATGGTGCGGCCCCTGGTGCGGTTCAAGAAGCTCTATTTTCAGTGCAGATCATGGATGGAAACGTTTGTCAGTATTACTATCATTTATGTTTATGCATCTAAAGCTGTTCATTTCATATTCTGCAGCATCCAGACACTAAAGCGAACTGACGCTATTGTGTTATGTTTGCTGTTAGCACCTGCAGCTGTTTAGACCTCACAGCTTCCACTACACAGGCTGTTGTACTTGTACCACACGAGTGAGTAGAGAGGAGCACCTGACACAGGAGCTTCAACCACAGCGTGAACTGTTTCTCTTAGCGCCTGCAGAGACACGTGTGATCATGTTGCAGGTCTTGAACCTATAAAACCCAGAGAGCAAACAGCTGAATTGAAAATGCAGTAAACAATGTTGGATCACGCTCCACAGAGGCTCAGGCGATATGTTTCCTCTTCAGTACACTGCCGACTTGAAATCTAATTTTATGCTCTTGTTGAATGCACACACACACACACACAAATGAATGCATTACCTATTTAAATGTCGCCCCAGCATGGTGGCCTAGGGGCGTATATAGGAAACACAAATGTACTTTCTGTTATTTCAAATCTCATTATGTCTCGTCGGGGAGAAACAGCTCGGTGTCCTTGCAAAGCTCGAGACAGTCGATGATTTGACCATCTATGGCTGCATAATTTTTAGACCTTCAGATTTGCAATTGCATGCATCAGGCTTTTTTTGCAGCCTTTCAGTGAATATATCCACGTACAAAACCATAATTAGACATGCCTTCCAAAGCCAATCCTATTTCAGAGGGCTCCTGGGGGAGATATTACGCTATCCGTAAACCCATGGCCCCTGCCTCAGAGTCACTCTTAATTACATTCCAAATTCAATCAACTGGAAACAAACAGCAACAGCACCAACCAAAAAGACCTGGTGCAAGGGTCTCTGGTTTTTCAGGACTGACAGAGGCGGTTTAACCTTGCAATTGAAATACTATTATTAATATTATCCATTCTTTTGCAGGATAAGTGCAGAGGACAGCTGAGAGCTTGCATCGATTGAAATACACCTGATTAAAGTTTAAAGACACAAGGAAATGGTGACGGAAAATGTCTTTGAATGGAATGAGCAAGTAGTAAAAAAAAAATGGGAGGGGGGGAGGGGGGTGATAGATGGTTAAAAAGTGGTAACCTTGAATGAGAATGGTGAAAAGCAAGAGGAAGATGGATAGAGAGATGGAGGGAGGGAGATAGAGCTGCAGGCTGCAGAGACGGGGACTGGGGTTCAGGCTGAAATGTCAGATGAGTCACAGGCAGTCTGGGAAGATGCTCCTGTTTAATATGGCTGCTCAGTCTGCCATGTAGGCTGAAAATTTACAATGACACCATCGCTGTAATAACAAGCACCTGCAGCCACGTCGTGAAGGAGCTGTCTGCTCAGGAATGAACGGGTAGTGACATTGATTAACCCTGACCGCCTGTAACACAAGATAACTGATGGGTTTGATGGTGCGGAGGCGGCCTCTGTGATTTAACTGTAAAAATCCTTTTCACATCCCTCAAATGTGTGGACGCTCAATCACCTGAGCTGCTCGGCTACTTATTTGCACTTTTTGAGAAACAGCAGAGATCTGTCAATCCAAATAGTACATTTTGAGCACAGTGATCCCATTCAGACGGCTGGAAATCATTCACGGAGAATCCCGGGGAGGACGGCGAGTGCACTCCAGAGTCTCGGTGTGAGGGCTGACACAGAAAAACATGCAATCTAGAAATATTGGCAACAAGGTGAGAGAGAGACCAGGCTGTCCCCAGGTGTTTGTGCTGCTCTGTCTCTTTCAGGCAGCTTCTTTACTTTCTTCTCTCCATGCCTGGAGGAGAGGCGCTCGAGTCCAGCCTGAGGAATGTGTGATCCAAAGCTCCCCCAGATTATCGGAGTATCTGTGTCATCTGCTAATAAACTGATGAATGATTATCCCGGAGAAAGTAAACCAAAGTGTGTAAAGACTGTAAATCTCTAAGATGACCCCAGGTGGCTTTAACACTCCAGAGGTTTATTTCAGTCTGATGTGTGTGTGAGCAGTGGGCCTGGGGTGGTAAGAGGAGGAGAAAGCATTCTGCGGTCAGCACTGGTGGAGATGTTAGACCTGGACAGCAGGAGGGGACGGGCTGAGGGTCTAAATAAAGTTGCAGCTGATCTCACAGGCGCCCCCATCGCTCCAGCTGTGACGGCGTTAAATAGACATGGGATCTAGGTGTTTGCTGTGGCAACATGTGAGAGCAGCGAGGTGACTGAACGCAGCACAGAGCCACTCAGCTGTCACAGTGATCAGTGCTGCTCTGACATCAAACAAACACACTGGACCTCAGACACCACAGCAGCATCACACACATCCTGCTGACATCCACGTTTAAAAGGAATATAAAAGAGGAGATATTACATCTTTTTTCCCCCAATAATTTCTAGTTGAGAGCTGAATGCATTCACTTGCTACCTTTCCTTCACGAGAGTGCGTCAGTGAGGAAAAGCACGTAGACAGATGGGCGGGGGGACGGGGGGGAATGGAGCTACAGCACACTTCTGTGCACGGCTCTGGTTAGTCACGACTCCTCTGCCCAGATGAGCAACAGGACGAGAGAGAGAGTGTGTGTGTGTGTGTGTGTGTGTGTGTGTGTGTGTGCGCTGCCCCCTGGCCCCTCCTGCTCTTTCTTTCAGACAGTATGCCACAGACCTGGTTGCCAAGGTAACCTCTCGTGTTGATGGGTTCACCTCTGAGTTAATCACCACCTGCAATAATAGCCAAAGCAGATGGGTAGTATAGATGCGTGTATATATACATGTCTGCGTGTATAGACATACATAAATATATAATTAGCTGTAGCCCCCCTGTGACCCTCAAAAGATAAATGTATGTAAGTGTTTACATCTGTACATGCACATCATACACACACATATATGTGAGACACCTGGGCTGTTTGAGGGATAAGATGGTGAAGGTTAAAGAGGTAAGTGATTGGGGGGGACGTATAATGTCCTCACAGCTATAGACAGACCAACATGCTTCAGTGTTTGTCCTCTTACAAACGGGTAGAATACCGAGCAAAGCTGTAGGAGACGTCTTTTTCCTTTTCCCCTGAATAGCAGCAAAGTTGAAAATCAATACGACACCGGCTGAGGAGCAGCTCTAAATCCAATGGATCGATTCCTCTCAGGAGAGTTGTGTTTTCCCTTTAATTTTCATGGCGTGGCAGCCGACTATCACTGCACCAATAAGAAAAAATAGCTCTAAGATTATGTGAGAATAATAATCTTCTTTATGCTGTAACCGTGCAAATCTTTAATGGAGATCACATCATGTCTTCTGTATCTTGTCTGTTATCCTGCCTCTCTTTCTGTCGAATAAAACATATTATTTTTATTACTAATTTATGTGATTTCAATTATGTGGAGAGGTGGAAAGAAACTATGGACATTTACTCAAGTATTTAAGGATCATATACTTTTAATTGACAAATGCCATGCTCTACTACTTTATACTTCCACTCCACTAAATCTTTGAGTGAATTACTATACTTTGTGCTCCAGTAAATTTGACAAAAATCTAATTCTGTCTTAATGTGTATTGTTAAAAAACATAAGTTCTAATATGGCCAAGAACATTTAACTAAATAATTTTACATTCGATACTTTGCTGAAACTTCAACTAGTCATTTTCCTTACATGATTTTTAAATATATGACTGAAACTTGCTACTGAGGATACTGATGGTGTGCTTCCCGTTCTTCTTTGTAAAATGTGCCAGAGATTTTCTACAGCATCTCAGACACAAAACTGTTCAAGGAGAAAAGGTTGCAAACTGTCAGTCTCCCTCTCAGTTTGTGATGTCTGTTAGATCCCCACCGATACACAAGTTTCCTGCTAAAGGAATTCAGCGTTCATTTACCTCTGAGAGGACCAGTGGGTGCGAGCAGGAGGCAAACAGTGCGTCGGAGGACAGTGTGTGGGTGTGTTGAGAAATGCTGCATCTCAGCGCACACGGCGAGCGTTGACACTAACATCTGCTCCATCTGCTGTCCCTGCCACTACAGCGGCAGAGAGAGGGCCGTGCCACGACATGTGAGTCCGCTTGACAGGCAATATGAGACATGCAGTGTTCTGTATGGAGAATAAATACATGTTCAGTTGAGGGTTCAAGAAATACAAATCACCCTGTGACTTGATAACACTACATCTTTTCCTTCACTGCATTACATCAATCTGAGACTTGTCGCACACGACTGTGGACAGCACCTGTCATACAGTGGCATGTTGTCTTCATTCACATCCCTCGTCCTAATTCAGATGAGATACAGTTCGCTCCCTCATGCGCACGCACGTCCTTGGAGAAAGACACAAAGAATAAAACACTCAGCCAACTCAACTTGACCCGAACTCAACGTCTGCAGCTGCAGAACGAAATTAAAAGTAAATCAAGCAAAAGCTTGTGCAAAGCCTAATATAATCCTGAGTTACACTACGGAAATCTGAATTTAAAAAGGAAGAGATGTAAACTAAATTAGGATTAGAATTAGGACAACTTTTATGCCCTGATATACAATTAACTCATTTTAAAACTCCAGTAGCACTTGTAATGTAACAGTGTGACATCACTACAGAACTTCCAGCTCGGTGTCAGAAATCCAAAGTCTTCTCTAATGCAACACATTGTAAGACGATAAGCATGTTACACGTCCTGCTGTCGTCGTTAAACTGAGGTGGTTCCATCATAAGCGATATGGTGAAACCTCTCAGTCAGTGTGGAGTGTGTTCTGATTATAGCACCTCCCTTCTGAAGAAAATTCCAGTCCCATTATTTTCATCAGCTTCATCCTTCAGCCTGAACATGAAGTGCCTCTATTTGCAGCCATAACTGCTGAGACTTTGCACAGAAAATGAAAGATCAAACCCTGGTTTGTTGAGACTGGCTGGAACAAGAGGAAATGCATCCTGTGCACTGAGCAGAAGTGAAAGGCGCAATTCACTCTGTTGCTTCTGGTTTGTTTTGACCCCTTGATTTGGTGAGACACATCAAAGCATGAAAGAAAATGTCTGAATTTCTCCTTCACATCCTGTTAAATCCCATCCGATCCCTGTATTTCAGTGCAGACGCTCCTCCACACTTCTCTTGCCCTTGTGATCAAAGGTTGACTCTGCTGTTATAATCAGGCGGTTAGCCGAGGTTGAGGCTGTGGCTGCTCTCTGCTCTGATAAGCCTTTCAGAGTCAGATGGCCACCTGTCCGCTGGTATTTGATTTCGTACAGTTCTGCCACATCACAACACACCAACAAACACACAGGGGAAGACGCATGATTGTTTCACTGATGCCTCAAACTGTGAAACATCATTTAAAATGCTAGAAAAAAGATTATCTTGGCAATTATCAAACTGAATATTACGATTCTGGTCAATTATTGACTCAAATCTATTTTAATTTATGCGAACCAGAAAAACTCAAGTCTGCCACTTGAGTTTAGACCAATTAAAAGAGCTGCACTGGATCAAAATATTAGGAGATCACAAAGTAGTTTGGTGTCAGGGTTGATTCTTATCTCCTGCTTGCTCTCATCAGCTTCATTTAAATCAATTGTGAGGTTTTGCAAGATGCTGTAGAAACCAGGTATGCATTCCCCAATGACATTTATAGAAAAGGGTTCCTATTAAAGAGCAATGTAATCTGGCACTAATTACACAGAAGATGGACAAAATTCTTACAGTGATATGAGTTTGCTTATTCTGCAACAATACATACTTTTTTCATTTACAGCCTCAAGTTGGAGCAGCTTCTCAAAAATGTCTCAGTGGGTCTGGACAAGACGTTCAAAACAGCACAGTGCAGGACATGGCTGCTCTGAGCTGCTGTATGAAGGGCTAGGTCAGAAACGAATCATTATTTTGGATAGTGCTTAGTGTATGATAATTTTTTTAATTAATTGCCTCAGAAAATAATGAAAAATACCCAAAAAGCTCCAAGAACCCCAGATCACATTTTGTTTTATTGTCCTACCAGCAGAGATCAATATAAGACCTTATAAATATAGATATATAAAGAAATCAAGTATCATCTATATTCACTTTTATTCTCCATCTATGTAGTGTTATATTTTTGACTGTAAACTATTTTTTTTTACATTTTGTTTCAACGACTAGGAGATTTACTGGATACAATATTAATTAATAAGAATTAATCGGGTCTCTCCCATCAGTACATTCTAATCAGTACAAAAATTTGTTCCACTAGTTTTTTATGAATTTACATTAACACATCAGTTCATCTGGAGAATATGGAAATAAGTGACCTATAAAACAAAGCAGTCCAAGTAGAGCCTATAGGTTAAAATTCAAATATCAATATACATACCACATATATACATTTTATGACAGGGAAATAATAACATTCTTGTTTTAATATGAGGCCTTGTTCTTCTGACAGAATTATCACAAAGAGATTTGTCATTTTTAATAACTTCAAGAATCAAACACAAGACTTTACAAATATTAGTAACAATATTTCACAGAAGCAGCAACAATCTGAGACTCTTACAAAACAAAAAGGCTTATGATGTCACAAGATGAGAAATAAATGAATCACTAACCACGATCTAACCTCCTCTGTGGTCCAATCAAAGCCTCTTAGGCCTTGGTGATGTAGCCCTCTTTTATTAGAAAATCATAGATTTTACGTGTTTTGTTGACGTCGATCTTGATCAGTGCTCGGGCCTGTGCCAGTCGCAGCCCGCCCTGCCGTCTGCACTCATTAAGTAAGGCCTGCTTGTACTCCAGGTAGGCTCCCGGCACCAGGCGCACCACCTGGCACAGCTATAAGAAGAAAAGAGAAACTGGCATTTAAAAAGCAATGTCTTATTTCAGGACATGGCACATTCATCAGATCATAGAACGGTGTCTGAAAGCCACAAGATTATTCAAAGTGAACTGGCCAGATGTGTGATGTTTGTATTAGTTTTTATTTCGTCATGTGCTAACTGCAGCAGCAACACGTTTCACATGACATGACTGCACTGGCCACCTGATTTCCTTTAGCAGCATTAGTTTCAGTCAAGCTACCAACCTGGCTCCAGACTATTGAAATAAGAATTGTACAAGCATGATCTCCAGAGGAAAAATCCTAATGACCTTAGTGATACTTTGGAAAGACCTTTGCACTTTGTATTTAGAGCTAAACACACTTGTCAGCTCCAAACAATCTGTCGTCACTGGTGCAAGAAGACAGCGTCTGTGTTCAGATGATTTTGACCCGCATGAATATCAGCATTGTTATAGTGAGCCTGTTGGCAGGCTAATGTTATTTGACTCTCAGCTAGAGCTACTGACTCTTTGTCTTGTTAGATATCTGATACTGTGCAGTTCTGGAGTTATTATTGTGGAGCAGTCCCTGTGTCTGCTATAGATAAACTGTGAAGTCACACATCTTTTCTCACCATAACCTTCCCTGTGGCTCGTGTAAATCCAATTGGTTTTACACACACACAAACTATATATATGTATAAATAAAAAACGCTATGGTGGTTGGCTTTTCATAAGGTGAGGACTTGTGTCTTTACAACAAGTCGTGTTCACTTGAATCACACTGAGCCTTACATGTGCAGATTAAAAAGTAAGAGTTGTACCTCTTTCTCCCGCTCGTCAAGTTTCTCTGTCCCCGGCAGTCCCGTCAGGTTCAGTGGAGGAGCGCTCCGCCTACCTGTTGCTGTGCAGCAGAAATTCAACAGTTACAAACCAGCAGCACCCCAGTGTTGGTCCTCACTTCATTTAACATAATAGCACGCTGACAACACAAAATTAATTCCTTCACTTGGAAGAGACACAGGAACAAATATTTACAGTGAGCGCAGATGCAGTGTGGGAGTGAGCGTCCTATTTATACCGTAGAGGTCAGGGAAAGGCAGCCAATATAAAAAGGAAAAACAGCAAGATAAATATGGATGTAGGGGGCTATTTTTCAAGTGTATTTATGAAGGGGCGTCTGCATTAATGCAACTGAGCCTGGAGACACACCAGGCCCATAGAGAGGAGGGAGTACAGAGGGAAAGGTGGAGAGAAGCTTCCTACCTGACACTGTGATGGTTGTGACTGCTGGAGTGATGCCAGCATCTCTGTAATCAGAAAGGAAAAGTGTTAGTAGCTCTACTACATTATTTTTACACACATACACACATCACACTTGGACACAGCATCTCTGGGCTTTGTTCACTCTTCATACTCCAGGACCATCATCCAAAAAAGATGACTCATTGCAATTCATGATTTTTTTTTTTAAAGGTACAATAATTAGAAGAGCTTGGATAAGATCCTTGGATGGAAAACACAGGAGCAGTGGCACATTAAAAAGAGTAAAAATACTGCAGGGACTGATATGGAAGTGGGATGCATGGTGACACAAACGTCTGCTCTATTCATCTAAGCACGCCTGGTGCCGAGCGTGACGACAAAGGTCAGCGTCTCTGGGGAGCGCGACTTCACCAGCTCGCCTATTACACACTCGGTAACAAGCAGGAAGTTTGGAGTCTCACATTGCAGCCTGTTTGCTGAGCCACTGCTGGCACGCTCTGCCATCCTGGATGTACTGCAGGACGTCACACAACATGGTCCTCTTCCTACGCTCTTCATCACGCATTCGCTTCGCCCGCTCATACACCTTGGCACCTGGTTACACAGGGGGGGATTACAAAATGTACATTGCTTAGAATTTAGGCTGCTACATTTTCAGTAACGATTTCTTTCATCCACAAATATTTCCTAGATTCATTCTTTTATCTACAAAATGTCAAAGGAAAAGGAAAAAAATGCCAAAGATGATCCTCAAAGAAATGTTATTGTTAGACTATCAATTCAAAAGAATCCACTTAATGGCAAAGAAAAGCATCACGTTCTTTTAACATTTAAGAAACAAAAACCTGCACATTTTTACCTAAAATGTCTAAAATAATGATTTAAATCAGTTAATTTTCTGTCGATCAGCTATATTCAGATTATAGTTCAGTGCTTGAGCTGAGACTAGTGACCCATACAGAGAGTGAAAGTGATGATGAGCAGTTTTCAGGGGAGAAGTTTTGATGTGACTCCTTTTCCTGATGTGGTGGTTTTGTGCCAGTTTAATCTTTGGTGTAAGAGCACCAGCGTGCTCTGAATTTATGGTAGCATTAAGATAAGTGTACAGAAAAAACAAGTACGTAGACAAAGTGTTTAATTGGAATGTACTGATAGTGAGGTAGAACGGTTTACGATGCACTTTAATGAAAGATTTAAAGATGCTATAATATTGACCTTTCTTAAGGGTAAAATGTTAAAYATGTTTAAAGTCAAGGTTTAGGGAAAGCTCCTGTGTACCACAGGGTCGACTGCTCCTTCCTCTGACCACACTATGTTATTGTAGTGCTATTTGATGCTGTATTTAAAAAATAATGAATCTGCTGCCTCAAGGGAACTGGCAGGTCTATGATAGATAGACGCTTGGGAGAGTGTTGTCCAACCCACTGTTTTTGCCTCGTGTCAATAGGTTCCAGAAAGATCTTTAGTGGTTCAGCGCTTTTCTGAAGAGACGTGTCACACAGTGTGAAAATCCTACTTCTGCTGTCGTGTGGTGGTGGAAATGTTCACTTTGCTGCACGTCAGTCTGAGCTCTGAAAGTACTGTACAGATGTTGTGTTCAACTGCAGCAGAGTGGATATTTTCAACACACAGCTTTTCTGTGTCATTTACTGGATAAATTCATTCATTCTGACAGCAATTCTCTGAAGCTGATATAGCAAATCAATAACATATTCAGTTTGTGCAACGCATTAACAAACAAGCTGAATATTATAATTCCCAAAAACGTTCTGAAGACCTGATACGCTGAGCTGCTGCAAATGATTAAAAAAAATTAAAAACCATTTTAAGACCAACTTAGAAAAAAAGAACTCAGTACAGCTCATTTCTAAAAGTAAATATGTTTCCCTGCCTAATCATGCAACTTTAAAATTACATCTTGTTGAACATAGGAGTGAAAAACTCAAAGTAAACTCACTACAGAAAGACTTGATCCCTGCTTTCCTGTACTCCTGCAGCCTGCGGATCTCCCTCCTCAGCTCAAACTCCACTGGAAAAAAAGGAGATGAAGGCAGTTGAAGGCAAATCTGTGTACGATTTTACAAGGTGAAGAAAAGAGCAACCTCAACTCTTTCTGGCTAAAGCTCCTTAGTCTCATCTCTCAACAGTCTCCAGACATCTACATGTCTTCTTTCATAGAGTTTGCATATGTTAAAATAATATGGTCAGGTTCAGATGAAAATATAATCCACATTTTGGGAAAAATGCTTATTTGAGACATCGATACCTATCAATTTAATATTCAATTAAAGCCAGCAGTCGATTAAACCATGTAAACTCTGCCAAATACTAACGTGCGTTGCTTTCGATGAATTTATCGTGTTCAGTGGGACCAACCACTCTGGCAAATCGTCTCATGACGTCGTACAGCTCCTGCACCTCCTTTGGGTAACATCGCTCCAGCACTGAGGACGAGAGAGTGAAAGAGAGGAGAGAAATGAGTAGGCAGCAGACACAAAAAAAAGATTTAACATATAAAAGAAATATGACTTTATGGTGGTTGATCACTGTGGAATATTTGTATCGGCTAGTTACAAAATATATTGTGGAGATCTGAACATTTTATCCAAACCACTGAACCACACTGAACTCTCAACACTCTGCATCTTTTCACACGCTACATTTAACGTACCCTCTATAAACCTGAAACTGATGTTGTCAAGTGTTGTAAATGTGCACTATCCCATATAAAAATATACAAGAGCAAGAAAATGACCTGGATTCTGTATTTGGTCATTAATGATCTTCTAAGTCACAAGTGCAGACAAACACAATGTGCTTAAACAAATAACACAAACAAACTTTTACATATTAAACAGCTGATCAAACTGCCTTTGGTGACAATGACCTCAAACAAGAGCTTCCAGTAGCTTCTAAATAATCAATACATAATAAACAATAATCAGAGAGATTTTTGATAATTTCTCTTACAGAACTATGTCAGTACAGAAATATTCTTATGTCCTCTGGTTTTTGTGGCTTTCTTATGGTCTCTTGAGTTCCCCTTTGTTTTGTAAGGTGAGTTGAGCTCATTCTTTTACTGATCCTTGGCTCCAGTTACCTTTTGTTAATACCATTAGCTTTAATATTTATTCCAACCTACACTTTGAACGTTACAGTAATATATTCAAAATGGGCAAGAGAAATAAAATGATTTGCATTTAATTCGTTCAAATTTAATGTGTTTGTTCATTATTGTCGCATCTTAGATGGAGATCAGACCATATTTGAATTAATACATAAATGAAGAGAGGGGTTAACAATTTTTTTTCTTGCCTCTATAACTGAATTGGTCAAACGCACAAAACAGATCCAGATATTCAAGTTTCATTCCTAACGGCCATTTTACTTTATGTAAAGATCCAGTAATCTCGCTCCAACAAAAACACACCACAGTCAAGCTCCACTGGAGTGTATTCCAAAAGCTGTATGCACAATTTGGAAAAAGAATACTTTGGGGTCTGTGGGTGAGGTTAGAGTAAATGTTAGAGGTAGGAAGTTAATGCAAATTCATGTAGTGTCCCCAAATGTGACCTTGTGTAAATGTGTATGAGTGTGTATGTGTGTGTGTTTCAGGTTCCTTCATACGACCTCTCTGTATTCAAGCGTTAATAAGCAGCTGCCATTTCAGACAAAAGACATAGTGTCATGCTCTCAACAAAGCAGTGAACACACAGTCACAACAGTGTTGTCCACGTCTCTAAGGAGAAATTGACACTGGTGTGCGGTCTCATACCAACACACAATTACTGACAGCAAACAAAGGCAACACGACTAGACAACTCGGACTTGAATCCTTTCATATAGAACGTCCTCACAGGGCTCCAGACTGCTGCCCTGAAACAACAACGCTGGTCACTCTGCCTCTGGCAAGTTTCTGAGACAGAATACCGTGAGCGTTGCAGGCTCAGATACTGCTTCCATTATTGCATGTGACACAGACATGAACGAACACACATACACACTGTAGAGACACAATCTTTGACAGTCTCCATGACAACCAGTCTGCAGCTCTACAGCTACTCTGAGTTCCCTTTTGTCTTGAAAGACTGGAGAGATAAGGGAAAGGAGAGGCAAAAGCGAGCAGGGCTAACTGGAGGATATATAAATAAAACATGAGGGGAGAACTCTTCAACTCTCAGACCACAGACAGTTTTCACAGAGCATGTGGAGATATAACGATGGGCTGGATGGTCAAGCAAAGTTAAAATATAAAGGGTTTAATTGGACAAATTCATTTGTTGCAGCCCATCTGTCTGACCTCTGATGCAAAAACCCTTGAGATGCAAAGAATTACATTACTGACTCACTGAAATCCAACCTGTGAAGGTTGGATCAATAAGCAAAGTCCCCCTCAAAATTAAAGTCATTATGGCAGGAACACTCATCACATGGGGGATCTTTTCACAGTGAAGCAATTATGCTGTGGCACACAGCCCTCATAGACTATTCACAGCCCTGATCGTAAATACGAGCTCCGTCAGTGGCCACAAGGGGCCACAGAGGTTAACGGTGGTCATTTCATACGAGTTGTTTGTGTGCATCCATAGAAACCCTCTGCAGCGATTTGGCTGGTAGATATCAAATGCCTCTCTGAGCTGCTATGAATACTGTAGCAGCCGAGCCTGTGTGACTGTCAAGAGGAGGACTTACTCTGGAATTTTCGAAGGTTGATCAGCCCGTGGTCTCGGATAATCCTGAAAGAAATGCAGATTTAGATTTATTAACATGCAAATTCATATTCTGATTACTGTGATGCTGGAAAATTTATCCTGGCCTTTATTAATCTGCAATTATCTTGGCTGTTACAGTATAAAGTCATTATGGCTTCTGAACGCCCAATACATAAACTCAGTAGGCAGTTTATTAGGTACGCCTGGCAAAACCTGATCCAGTCTAATATGACAATCCTGCAGTTAAGGCTACCTTAAAGGTAACAATGTTTACTTTGTGTTGAAACTGAAGTTTTGAATAAACATGTAAATGGTGTGTTTATACAACGTTTTCGTCTTATCGGCCACCTAAAGTCACATTCACCCACATTCATGCAGTGCTTCCATACACAGAGCCCTTTCTATCACACACTGCCAGAACAGCCATCAGGGCCATTTGGGGTTTAGGGTCTTGCCCAAGGACACTTTGGTATGCAGGCTGGAGGTTTGACCTTCTGGTTAGTCCATGACCTGCTCTAGCTCATGAGTCACAGTCGCCTAACATTACGATCATGATGGGAACTGTTATTTGAGGTGCTCTCTTTAAACGCTCCAAAATAAAAAGGTTCAATTATTAAATATTAAATAAGGCAATGAACATCTTCATGAGGGTATGCACGTATTACAAGACTGAACGTGCATTCGTCTAATACACAGCAGCTAAGTGAAAGTGGCTCAACAGCTGCATTTGAGACTAAAGTTTAATTTCTTGATGTCTGTACTTGGGTTCCTCAAAATTCAGGATCTCCTGGAAGCTTCTCTGACAAGTAGCAAGTTAACGGATTTAAAATTGGGAGCATGGAACCAGAAACTAGTGAACATGAATGCCTGCCCAGCCAGACATGCCATTCCACCATTCTCTGAGAGCAAGAACTTGTTAAAGATAATTTAGAGATGGATGCATTACAGCGAAGATTGACTGTGTGTGTGTCTGCCAGTGAACACACAGAAGGAGAAGATCTGTAGAGTACTGACTGACAAAAACCTTCAACACCTTTGTTTCACAAAAAGTATGGCTGAAGCCAACCATTATTTTGATTATCCATTAGTTTGACGATTCTTTCTCAATTGTTTAACACTTGCGAAGGAGGCTAATAGTAACTTATTATTGGGTACACTTAGCTCAATGTAAGTCCTGCATTAAACTGTAGATGTATGGGGGTTATAGTAAACAACTTGGTTTTGGAGAGGTGTTTTAACAACAGTGTTGTCATCTGGAGGCCATAGTTTGGGGTGAATTGCATTTGATAAGGCGTTTCCACTATTTGGTCCAACTTTATTACCTAAGTGTGACGGACATAATAAAAGAAACACCCATCAGTAACAAGATCTAGTTTAACAGAAACACTCAAAGTACTTTACTGTTGGTTGGTTAGCTTCTGGCTGTACCTTACAAACTTGAGTGTGCGCTATCAGATAAATAAAACCTCACAGATAAGCTAAAGAGGAGAACCCTTTAGCATTTCTGTTTGCAAAATTATAGAATTATCATTGATTCAGCTCTTAATTCAAATGTATATTGAGAAAAATATTTTGAAACTTGAAAATGTGTTTTAATATTAGGCATTTGTGGGATCACAACCCACAAAATGCAGGTAGGATTTTCTCTTTCCCAGCCTAAAACTGAGCACAATGTCAGCTTGGCATGTACAGCGTTTACCAGGAGACAGACACGTTCCCGGTTTGAATAGAGGTTCATGCAGCTTGTAAATTGCACCTGAATGATTCCCTGTGGTTAATGAGAGCTTAAGAAAAAAGGCTTTGGTATGCAACTATAGTCCCAGTCTCAGAGGAAATGTGTCTTTTAATCTCCTTTTAACAAAATAATAATTACAATTTTGAAGTTATACATATATTAGAATTTATTAACATTAAGAAGGTAGAGTCATGGGTGTAAAATACTTTGCTCTGTTGATTCGTATTCAGTATGAAATGCATTTATTCAACCTCAACCCATATGTAAGTGTCTGTGAGAAACAAAGCTCCAGAAGGTCAATATAAATGCTTATGTGCCATCTACTGATAGACTCAGGTCATTACATGATCATGAATAAATAAATGCTGTGTATATTATGACAGACAGCTACGCATGTTAGTGTATAAAAATAAAGGACCTACTTCTTCCTCCGCTGTCTCTCCTTTAATCTTGAATGATATATATCAACAACTGCAAGCTTGAGGGCTGAAACATAACAACACACATTAGAGGTGAAGGAGGTGAAGTAAAAATTATAGTTCACATCATTATTATCTATTTGTCAATGAGAAAGTATTCACAAAAGAAGAATAACATTCTACCCACCACGGAGTACGTCTGAGTCATCATCCACAAAGTCGATGTCTTTCAAATCCCATTCAGCATAGTTGTCAAATTCCTGGAAGAAAAGTGAAAGAATGATTTTCATAATCTGTCATTTGATCCAAGTTCACATGTAGCGGATCATTGATCATAGATATGTGCCCATAACAAAACACTATCTATGAGTAAAAGCAAACAATTGGATGAATCATTCACTGTGAAACAACAACAAGGGCATGAATCACTGTCTCAGCTACATTTCAATGACCCACCTAGTGGCCATTTGGTTTATCTATTTTTTCATGTTGACAGGCCATGTTAGTAGACATAATAAAGCTCAGGATGTATGGATCCTCCTCACCTCCATGAAGTCTGCTCTGGCAGGCATGTATCCGGCCATATCTCGAGACAGCACAGAGTCAAATGTGGGCCTAGGAGGATCATCAGTGGCTGTAATGTCAGAAAAATGCAAACTAAACTATGAGCTTATAAGACATGTTTTATGTACTGTGTCTGAAAACAATACATATACCACCAACAAACTTCTTACAAGATTTTGTTTCATATAAGAAATACAGGAAATATAACAAGTTTCATGTTCTGTGAACATGGCGGAGAAATGTTTGTCAAGCACTCGCACACAGTGACAGGTGGAGACATGAAGCTTGATAGGAACCGAGACAAGTTCTTCACTCACCAACTGTTTCTGACCAACTGTCAGGACTTAAAGTGATGTTAAACTTTGGAATCGTTTTATGCAAATCTCTCATCTGACTGCAATGGAGGAGCAGAATGAATGCTGTTGTCATTTCATATGGAATAGCAGCAGACATTTGTGTCCTACTTTTCCTGTAACATGAGCTAAGACAAATGAAGGTTGTAGATGTTATGGTAACTCACGTTTAAAAGGAATAGCGCCCTCTGCAAAGCGAGAGTCTTTTGTTTTGCGCAGGCTGAGCAAGGTGGAGGAGAACAGGGGGTTGTTGATGAAATTCTTCATATAGTGGCTCTCACATTCCTCTTTGGTTTTCGTGCGCATCTGATATGCAACATCCTGCCTGAAGAGAGATGGTAAAAATAAATACAACAAGAGCTGAGAAAGAGGTTTTCTGATGTTTATGAATAAATCCATTAGGTTTGAACTGTTGTAAACCAAACGGTACTGCACACTGTCACCCCATTTCCCCCTGAAATATAACTAGTATAGCCTCACTAACATTAATATAGGGAGTTTGAATAGAAACATGCTGATATAAAGTGTCATCCATTCATTTTTTATACAATCCATTACATAAATAAAAAGGTACAAAAATCTTTAAATTTTGTTTTTTGTTTTGTTTTTTACCAAGAAATGTGCGAAGCAGGAGATTTCATAGTTGAAAAATTAACTTGATTCAAAGTAATGCCTATACTAATATGGGCGTTCACATAATGTTTTCAGAAATTTTATTTAGTCAATTTGATTTTTGAGTCACAAACTAAGGGTTTCAATGCCAAGGCAATAAAACTATTCAGTATAAAAGAACCAGGTGTGTCAGAAACACACTAAACCAAATGGACCTAATTCTTCAGTCCAGACAAACATGAGAACTGTGGAGTAAAGATTTTGTTGTATGACTTAAATAAACTACTGATAAAACCTAAAATCAAACAGAAAAACACTTACCAGTTCCCAAATCCACAGTCCATGACTGCCTCCAACAGAGACATCTCTTCCTGTGCGCTCCATCCAGGCTCCAGTACAGGGAAGTCTGACGTCTACACAAGGAAAAGTGAAGATATATGTTGAAGAGTGTGTGAGTGAGAAAGACTTTTATGACAGATGGTAATTTTTTTTTTGACGTACCATGATTTCATATCTGTGATCACTCTCGTGCTTCTTGTATTCAAATCCTCTGGTGAAACACTGAAACAGAAGCATTAGTGAGGGCTGTGGGAATAAATAAGAGCTCTGATAGCATTTGCTTCATTTATGACCGACTGACCTGAAGGCAGAGGAGAAAAGGCGAGGGTCCACATTCTGCACACTTGATGTAAGGCTCGGTGAGAGGAGAGGAACAACCTCTGCACGGTGGTTTATCAAAGGGATCATCTGGAATAAACATGTTGGTGAACTTATGGTTGAAAACATATTGAGTCACTGTCAAAACGACGACGGACAGAAGTTGCGCTGAGGTTGAAACCAAACGATAATCGTAAACAAAAGGAAAAGATCAGAGGGAGCTCAGCTAACGTCCCCTGAGCTATTCAACGATTAGCGGCTGTATCATTCATTCCTGAGCCTGAAACTCATTCAGACCAATAACACAATATACCACAAACATGCAACTTACTAGTTTATTCTTTGGTAGCACACAACTAGCGTTGATTGTCGCTACATGCTAACGTTAATGTTAGCAAAGCTAGGTTGGCGTTAAGTTAGCTAATACCACGAGCCACATAAACACAGAGGAAAGAGCTGTTTCCTGTCAGTCTGCAGCTTCTGCTTTCCTCCCCGTGTCACAGTGAATACTCACTTCCAAAAGACGCGAGTCGGTCCATGTGAAAACGTTTCGACAAAGATACAACCCGTCTGGAGGGTTCGCTTCAATCGACTTTTCAATGCTCTCCAGCAAACCTGATTAGCAAGGCGAAGGTAGTCGAGCCCCAATCGATCGATAGGGACCGCTTCAAATGATCAGTGTTATTTTCATCCTGTTTTCATTTTCATCACATTTTGTTTCATGGTTTCCAGGCTTCGTGTTCATGCTGCACATGTGTAACAATCACCGAAGAACGAAGAGTCATTAAAAGATTCAAACATCTTTATTGGCATCACACTCAGGTGCAGTGGAACTGTAAGAAGCTTCTCTCTCTGTAGCTCAAACTGAAGAACTCATAAAGTACAAGTAACACAAGGTTGTTTTGAAATGTGATTCATCGTTTTCTGAAAATGTAGAGGTTTTATTTAAGAAATAAGTCTCTGTGGCGCAATCGGTTAGCGCGTTCGGCTGTTAACCGAAAGGTTGGTGGTTCAAGCCCACCCAGGGACGGTTTTACTATTGAAGCTGAAATCACTGATAATATCGTGTGGATTTCAACTACCAACCTGTGTGACCTCTAATCTCATCAGCCAATCATTCGCTGTGCAACGTCACATTGGATATACGAAAACATGCGGCTTCTCTCCAGTGTGTGACAGGAGGAAGTACAGCTACTGGATAAGAACTTTCAACCTACATCAGCAAAGGAATCAGTAATCAATTTGATACTGTGGCCGAGAGAGCTCAGTGCACTACAAATTAAAAAAACATTCAAATAGCAAAAAACATTAAGAACTTAGAATTAAGAAAAGAACTTCAATTTGATGGCACTGCAAAAAGTCACAGCACGTGCAAATACAGAAACGTGCCCTAAAATATCGAAAATGACACCAGAAATATTTCCAGGGACCCGAAATAGTAATGAACCTGGCTGTAGTTGAATACCTGTTAAGTTCCATCACCACTGACGAGCAGAAGACTTCAGTAACTTCACACTGAACTACAGCCAGAGCTTTGATAACATTTGCACTATCTGTCATTAAACTCAAACACTCATGTATCATCATTTCCGGTGTCATTTTCACTATTTGCAGTGTTCTTCTGTATTTGCATGAGTTGTGACTTTTAGCATGTCGTCAAATTGATGAAGTCGTTTTCTTAATATAAATGTTTCTCTGTATCAAATGAATTATTGATTAGTTTTACAAGTTGAAAGCTCTTTTCCAGTAATACGTCATCTAATCAGACACTGGAAACGAGCGGCATGATTGGCCTAAATCCAATTAGACTTTTTTTCTGACAGGTTGGTAGTTAAAGTCCACATGAAGATGTCAGCCACACTAGTAAAACCGTCCCTGGGTGGGCTTGAACCACCAACCTTTCGGTTAACAGCCGAACGCGCTAACCAATTGCGCCACAGAGACATACTTCTGAAATAAAACCTCTACATCTTTCCAAAACTATGAATTCATTTCTACTAGAAAGCAATTTTGTGTTACGTGTGCTTTATCTGAGTTCTTCAGTTTGAGCTACAGAGAGAGGAGTTTCTGACAGTTTCTCTGTGTGTCATGTCAAAAATACAAAATGAAAAGCTGTCCTGTAAACAGTCCGGTCTTTTCTCTGGGAGTAAAAATGTGATCTGTTATTTCCGCAAAAGTCTGTGTTT